TGGCTGTACACACTATAGGCTAAAAAACCCACCAGTCTTCACGTATTTGCTGCAGGATATTAACTAGCCAGCTGCTCCTGCTGCTCTCAAATACACTTAATTCTTGGCTCAGATACAATTGCTATGATTTCCAGCTGTATCAAAAAAAAAAAAATCTTTTTTCTGACCCAGAAAGGCAAGTGTTGCCATCTAAATCTACCAGACTTCAGGGCTTCTTGTTATATTTTCAGGTATTTCCTTAAAAAAAAAAATCAGCAATATGAATTTCAAATCTAACCAAGCCTTTTTCCTTCTTTCCCTGCCACCAAGGATGTTTTAGTTCTAACCACCACCTACCCACCCCCCAAATAAAGGGCTAGTCTGAATTTTGGAAGCTATGGATCTATTCCCCTTTTACCAGATGTGACGCATTACATTCCAGCGGCATTCAGTCATTGCAGCTTCAGGCCCCAAACTACTTCTGCAGTCATGTCTTACATAGCTTAGAGGAGAACAAAGGATGCTGGCTTTAACGGGAATAGCTACATTACAAGGATATTAGACAAACAAAACACATGAATAGTCAGCTAGGATTAACATTGCTTAAAGCAGTGTTCTTGTAAAGCTGAGTCACACCACAAACTTGCATGTTTCCTTTGAAATTGGAAGAGTAGCTACCAGTTCGCCCTACTAACATCTACACCAAAGAAAGCTGATGGAGACATCTCAAGAACTGGAGGGTGTCCCTTAAAAGCTTCTCTAAGTTTAAGGCTTAATGTTAATGAAATTAAACTGAGCAGTCTATGTTGACACAAGCAGCTTCAAAACACTTTCCGGAATACCTGCATCAACTAACACAAACATCTTCCTTTCTTCTCTCCCCGTATCAAGTCAAGTTTAAGAATACTGACCAGTGAAGAGAGTTGCCCACTGGAGCAGATTCACAAAACCTCTTTAGAACAGAAAGCTAGTTTTGGAGAAGTTTGCCTTTCCTGTTCAGTAATTTTCTTTTTAAAACCCAGGATTTTTAGATGCGAGTATGGTATTATTTAGACAACAGACAGCGTGCATACAAAATATGCCAGGTATAAACCTACTGTTTTAAACATGGTTTTGCTCAAGGCAGAAAGGCACAAGTAGACCAGTTGATAGCTAATGATGCCTGATGGTATCAGCTGCACTCTTTGTTTCATTTAAAATATCCCTCCCTCAAGGAAGCAAATATTCCTCAAATAACATTTAATGACAGTATCTTTTTTCCATAAGAAAAACTCTTTAGGAAGACAAGACTCTTCTTCCTCGTAGTTTTATACCGAGTCATGCAGAGAAGAAAACCACCAGACAGAAACAGAACAACAGAAATCATATACAGTGGTCTAAGTTTTTCCATTGCCATTCTCTCAGGTACTGACGCTGAAGCTTTTCACACCGTTTTGTTATTGTTGGAGTGTCTTCCCATCAGTTTGTGAGGAGAAAAGCAGTAACAGAAAGGAGAACCTAATAGCTCTTGAGTGCTTAAGTCCACAACAGGAAACAACAGTGGTGGTTTGAACAATGACTATAAAATGCTCACAAAGATATTAACAGCTAACGATTCCTGAAAACATAAACATACTGAACGGATGAACTGTCAGTGCTACTTCAGGGAACAGCACAACTGTTTTTTCTTGCACGCTAAGACACCACTATTCCATTTTTGGCACGAGATGCACCCAGCCTTGCTCATCCGTTGGATATGAAGCATTTAAGATGCGTTCTCTGATGTACCACACCTGCAAGAAGATGGAAGAAAACACCCATGCTATGGCAGGACCAAGTAATTACACCTCCGGCACTACCTGGGAGTGTTGGTGCTCTGCCGTCACAGGTTAGAGACACAACTTTGTGCTCCCGTTCCTTTGCGGCAGCACTGCTTGTTCTTTTGCGCGTCCGGATCTTTTTGACGCCCATACGTTGTTTACAGGAACTCCGAAAGGCAAGGCGTACTGCACTG